GTATAGCATAATAAACAGTACCACATAAAAGTACTGCTCAATAGCTTTCATTTGAATGGTCACACACTAGGGTTTTATCCACAGACTTAAAAGTTAAAACCACCTTGTACAGCATAATAATAGTACCACATGAAAGTACTGCTCAATAACTTTCACTTGAATGGTCACACACTAGGGTTTCATCCTTGGACTAAAAGTTAGCATCAAGCCAACTCACTCATTTGTTCATAGTAAGCCTGGCCTGGGTACATTTCACCCATCTGCGGCACCATTGACTGGTGCACTGGGAGTGGCATCTGTTGAGTTTGTCTCTGCCTCTGTGAAGAATAGCGTTTAGGTTTAGCAGCAGGGGCAGCCTGTGACGACCCAGCAGCATTCTGTGAAGTGGATTCACCAGTTCCTTTCTTGGGTGATGGCTGTTTTGAATTCTTGACTTCCTGTTTCCTGGAAGTCTTCTTCTGCTTCCCAGCTAAAAGTAATTAATGACATACAAAAAAAATACAGATATATTAACTTGCTGACATTACATTACCTAAACATGTTGGCTATTCATGGTTCATTCATGTTTTCTCTTGTTGTCCTTAGAACTTTAAGCACATCTAATTTCTTGTTACTTGTCGAGCTGTGGCAATTATTTTCTCAAACTCATAATCACAACCGTGAAGGAGGTTTGGATACCCAGCCTTAATTAGCATAGATTTTGACCATTTTACTTCTCCATTTACTCCCCAGTTTTTATTTTGATTGAGAAGATATATCAAACACTCGAGACAGTGTTTCAATGGCTATCCAAACACCTCAAATTTCGTCAAAATACTCTGCTGCACGTCATATTATTTTTCAACGCTCTTCTCAGTGTTTGGATATCTCGGTGAAACACTGTCTTTCGTATTTGATATATTACTTCAAAGTGATCTTAANATAGAATGCAAGACTTGTTTTACATCAGGGTATGCACTGGGAGCTGCTAAATAAGCTATAGACCAGGGGTATACATGGGATATTTGAAAGTTGATACATTGTTGATACATTGAAAGTTGATACAAATTGCTTTTTTTAAAGCAATTTTGTCTCAAAAGACAACCTCCTTCATAGCTGCTGATGCCAATTCTTAAATAAACTGATTGGTGGCTTTCAAATGGTGTTTTGTACACAGGCAGAGTGTCTTTTTTTGCTGATGTGGGAAAAATTGCTGTTCACTTGAGGGGGTTAAGGGTTAATAGAATTTCCACTATAGTTGATAACTGCTAGACATAAAAAATGCTGACATTATTTTTGTCACTGCTACCTTTCTTCCTCTGGCGTATCCGTCCATCTATCATCATGCCCCCAAAATGTATCTCTGCGTGGAATAAATGCTGGGTTGTTCTCTTCTTCTGCCTCCTACAGTAATACATATAAATTTATATGTAATTTTGATTCTGATGCAAGCAAATCTTAAGATTAAATCATGAACTGGAAAATGGTCTCAGATAAAAACTTAACAAGGTGAGCTACTAACATGATAAATTTATGATCTGAAATATCTTTTGCTCTGCATTTATGGGCAGAATGTGATTATCAAACATCTTTTTTTTAATGTTTACTGATGCAATCAATGTGTTTTGAGCCATGTTCTAGTGGACAATTTCAAGGTGTCAGACTTAGCAATCAATAGGCCTGAGCAATCCTGGAAGTACAGTGGCACATCTAGGAGAGGGGCCCAGGCTCCCCCCCCCCCCCCCNACTCTAGCTTTAGTGTTACCACACTACAGAGCGAAAGCTCTAAATATTTCTCATTGTTTAAACATGAGTAAAGAGTGGCTGCTTTTCCATCTGACCTACTTATGTCAGCGAATGAACAGTTAGCAAACCTACATGTAGCCAAAACAGCCCTTATCCAATCTAATAAACTGTATCAAAATGCTTGTGACATGAGACTTGCCAAATGCTGTCAATCAGTCATGATGGCAGCACATCACTGACAGGTCATGTCCAGACTATGCCCTTCAGACTCTTGGGTCCTCACTTGATGACATGCTGTCTTTGTCAAGATCTATAATAATTAGTGTCAAACTAACCTGACCATCTCCTCTTTCTCTTGTGTCTACTTTTTCTTCTTCTGTGCCCCTTTCATTTCCTTGTTTCTTGTTGCCTTCTTCATCTTCTTTAGCAACTTCCTCTTCTTCTATAATAACGTCTTCACCTTCTTGCTCATCTTCACCTTGCTCTTCTTCTCCCTCCTCTTCTTCTTCACTTTCCTTTTTTTTACATTTTCACAATGAAAAAGAAAAACAAGCACAAAATGATTTAGCTAAAAGAGGAAACATGTCTTTGTTTACACCCTATGCTCCCGAGAAATTATCAATTGACATATTTATACCAGAGCTTGCATTACATCAGAAAGGGATGGTGTTGGACATAATTATGTTCCACAAGGAATTAACAAGTGAGAGAGAGAGAGAGAGAGAGAGAGAGAGAGAGAGAGAGAGAGCATTATATAAAAATTCTGTAGTTCCACACATTGTACTACTTGAATGTACAGTATCACTTTGGCCAGAAGAAGAAAATGGGTTATTATACCAGTACTACTTACATACATGTATATGTTGCAGGTCAAAATGAAATTCAGGTTAAAATGACTTTAAGCTTGTTTGATTCCCAATTTCCTTTGAATTCTAGCCCTAATTACTCATGATCCATAAATAATTAAGGTTAAGAGACAAAGCAAGTTCATTTTAACCTGAATATAATTATACGTTGGAGAAAATTGCAGCGAAAGCGAGATGCAAGTGACTAGGAATGTTTCTACTCCCCCCTGGGGGGGGGGGGGATTCTAGTCCATCACAGGGTTACCCCAAGCATTAAATACACCAGTACCCATTCAAACACCTGGGTGGACAGAAGCAGGGTGAGAGTGAAGTGTCTTGACCAAGAACACAACACAATGTCCCTTGTCAGGGTTTGTACCTCCACACTGCTTGATACAGAGTTGAGCACACTAACCATGAGGCTAATGTACCTCCACAGAGGGGTAAGGCAGAGGGTTAACCATTCCTTGGATGACGGTTTTTCAAAGGTTTAAGGCCAGCTCATTATGTCTGAAAAACAACTGACCTCTTTGTCACTATGATCTGTATGGGATCCTGAAGATTCCGATTCTGATGTGTAACCCTCACTATCAGTCTCTTGATCACTCTCCTCTTCACTCTCTTCCTCTGAGCCAGATGGGTTTTCGTTGTCAGCTTTTTCACTTGCAGCAACAGGTTCATCCTTTACTGTAGGAGGCTTGACTTCAGCTCTTTCACCCTCATTTTCATGTTGAGGCTCTGTAACAGAACCCTCCTGTTCAACTGGCTGCTTTTCCTCAGTCATTTCATTAGCTGTGACAAAATTGAAAAAGTTAATTAAAAAATGTGGTTGCTTTCTGGCATCTGTTGAATAGTTATGTCCCAAAAAATGGTTAGATTTTTAATTGTGGATTTGTACCCATACTTACTAATGACACTGCTCTGTCAACACTATGTTTTCTTGTTCTCAGCTTTAGTAAGAAATATTAACTGCATTAATACATTTTAATAAGAAGTGAGCTATCCATTAGATCCAGGGGAACCTAATTGGAGGTCTATCAACACAGATATATGAATTACTGGTAGGTAAACTGAGACTACATCTCTACAATCATGATGAATGGGTTTAAAATACATGAAGTGGTCTGCAATACACACATGCCAAGGGGTAAACAAACATTCTGGAGAATGATAAATATACTACTAACACAAATTGTCTCCTTGTGGAAAATCAGCAGATTTCCATTTCATATTCTGTTGACATGTCCACTGAGTGGGTGAAAGAAAACAAGGTTCTCATAAACAAGCAGGCTGATACGTTTGTTTCCATTTTTGTGTGTAACATGCACGTGAGCAGACCAAGCCAGATGAAAAGCACTAACTAACAAATGGCAAAATTCTTTTTGATGACAAATAAAAGTATGCAGTGTATCACATCAGCCACTTGCGAGGTTTCAACTACATTTTTGGAGTTTTAAGTTTAACTTGCAAAGGGCGTTGACCATACATCATTCCATTCAATGCAAGGATAGCAGCTTGAGCTTGTGCCATTGAAGCCATAGTAACAAAGCAAAATCCTTTACATTGTGACTTTTCCCAATCCCACATGACATTTATTTTCCTTATTTCACCATAAGGTGAAAATAGTTCATACACTGCAGCTTCTGTTGCCTTCGCCCCAATGTTATAAACAAACAGAGTGTAGCCGTCACCAGTTCCTGGGGAGGTTATCTGGTTAAACCCTGATGCTGGTGGAATCTGGGGTCCTCCCATCATTGGGTTGAATCGGTTTGCACGGCGATTCATCATGGCTTGGGCCATTGGCCCAACTGCACCTGGTGGATGTAGATTAAAACTGGGTCGTTGAGGCCCAGCAGCTACAGTTGGAGGCTTTAACTTGGTAGTGTTGTCATCAGCAAAACGGACATACATGATTTCTGTGGTTCCAGAAGGCATGGTGTTATTGAGGGCATTGATGGCAGCTTCAGCTTCTGACTTCAGATTGTAAAGAACAAACCCAACGCCTTTAGAGGCGCCTGATATTTTATCAGTGAGGATCTTGACGTTGATTATATTGCCATAAGGGATGAAAAGCACCTTCAGGTCATCAACTGTCCAGCTTTTTGGAACATTACGGACATACAAGTTTGCTCCCTTGATTCTCTCTCCCCCTTTCCTTGACAGAGCAACCTTCAAGAACTTGTTTTCTATCTGATGACCATCAAGTCTCTGAATTGCCAGCTGTGCATGCTCAGGTGTAAAATACTCCACAAACCCAAAGCCATAGCTGTAGCCTGAGGATTTGTGTCGGCAGATCTTGCAGCTTTTGGTTGGGCCGACACTCTGAAACAGTGCTTTAAATTCTGCATCAGTGTAGTGTTGTGGTATGTAATTGATGATCAAGTTAGTCTTGTTGTCAGATTCATCGTCGTTGCTTCCTACAGCTGCCATAGTGGAACAAAATTTAAACAAGGGATACAAATATCACGCTTATCACAAGAGTCAGAAGTATCAACGTGGTAGAAAACAATTTCTGGCACTTTTGGCTTTAAAAACTTTCTGGATAAAAAAAAAAACAAACAAAAATCACAAGTCAGCTCTAGCATAAATAACACCATGCTAAACAAAAATAAAACGACCAAGTATAACTTCGCACAAGCTACCAAGCTGTCGCTTTCATTAACCAAAGCTTACGCTTAGATTTATGTTATACGAATCAAAAACAAGAAATCTTGAGATAGCTAGTGCGCCACATTACTAAAATGTTACAATAAACTGAAAGTTTTGTAACGGTGTATTGTCAATAAGACAAACGTGTACCTATAAAGGCTAGATCTGTCAGCCAGTTCAAAGTTTACATTCAGTGAAGCGAGCTTGTATTGACTTACCATGGTTTAATCATATATTTAAGCATTTAAATTCACCCTAAAAAGGTTCACTTTAACAATTTTATGATCATCAACGCTTCTTCTGGCTTTTCAATCTTTATTTCTATCACTCACCTTCTTAGAAAGGGTTTGGCGTGATCACAAAATATAAATTTTTGTCAGTTTTCACTGCATGAAGTGAAGTCGCCATATGCAAATTACCCATACCCCTTTGCTGCTTATTACAGCTCCTAGTCCCGCGCGGCATTGTGGGATGGTAAACAGTCATGGCTGCTAGTGTAAAGTGGATTTTGAAGGTACACATTGCAGGGTCGTCTAGTATATCTTACTAAACGTGAGAGAGTTTGGAGGCTTGGTGCACTCTGTACAATGGGTTCCACGATATCAACAGTAAGTGGAAAAAGGAAGCATTCTGAGTGCGAGGATGAAGAAGGAAGCCAAACTGAAGAGGACGATGCCGTCGTTGATGTTGTAAAGAGGTACGTGAAGGCAATTTTTAAATGTTTTAAACTTGAACTCACATATCATTTTAACCTTTGAAATTATCTTCTTATCAGTAAATCACTCTTAATCTAAGCTTTCTTGTTGTCAAAAAAATCTTCATAATTTTCGACAAGAGACACATAATTCCAGCAATGTGTATGTAACTGGCTCAACCGAAACTACTTGTCTATGGCAATATATCAAAGAACGAAATTGGTTTGTAATGGGTCAACGTTTCCAAGGCGGAAAATATTGTTTGCACTTGAGCAGAATTGACTAAAAACTCTAAATCTCGAAATTGTGGACCATTATCTTTCCCTGAAAGACCTGCCCATTCTTGTTCCCAGAGTCACCATGGCCGCTTGCACACTTATGATGTACATACACTTGTATGGCATGTCGCCAAAGGGCAGCTCTTGGGATAAAAATCCAACCTGTCCAGTGTGAGAGATTTGAATTTCATACCATACGAAAACTTTCAGCTGACTACAGGTTATCACAGCTGGGAGGGGTGTGTATGTGTGTGTGTGTGTGTGTGTGTGTGTGCAACATTTACAGCAGAACCTTAATTCATTCACTTTCCTGTTGTAACTTTTGCTCTNGGGGGGGGGGGGGGGGGGGGGGGGTGGGAGAGACACATAGACATGTGATCCGTGTGTGGGTGTATTGTGCCTGGTGCTTCACCTCAATTTCAATTTTTTCCATGACCTTTTGGGAGTTAAGATGGGCTGACTGTGTTTTACTTATTTACAATATTGAATGTGTGAGTTGTTTTTGGTTGATATTTTTTAGGAAAAGGTTGAAGGGCACCTGTGATTATATTTATCAGACGCTCTTTCTTGATGGAGAGGGAAGTGATGTGACAATAGAGGCCCTTGGTTAGTAACCACCTCCTAGCAAATAGATATGTTATTTCATGTGTGTTCATTGGTATTCACAAGTAGCCTAACAGCTCAGGGAGGACTTGAAATGGCCAGGACGTTTGGAAGTCATAGGTTCAAATAATGTGCTCTGACTGAAAAATCAGCGTTTCTGAATTTAAAGAACTTGGCTAGACTTATTCCCTAGAATGGTGGTAGAACAGGGATATCATTTGTGGCTAATATAGCCCAGGATTGATCCTTTTAACATTATAACCTGAGCCCTGATTTCTCTACTTAGATACTGGTGGAGTACGCAAAAAAACAGACTGTGTATCCTATCGACTATTTCCATCATTCCCTTCTCAACTAGTGCCTACTTTTTGTTTATGGTAAAATATGTAAAAACTAAACCTTCTGCTATCTGGGGATTCTTTCAATAATTTTTTATGTTTGTTCAATATTTTTGTATTGTTATTGCAGGTGTAATGTCCCTATTTAGCATTGCCTCTTAAGTACCGTTATACATTGTAACTACCTTTGCACAAGTGCTTATAATGGTCTTTTAATGTTGGGATAATGGCTGTAGACTTACCTAGAACATTCTGAGTATATGCATTAAAATACATTTTTTTACGGTCCTTTTTAGGAAAAGAATGGAAGCTTCACAGAATCTACATGTGCCAGGTACAGTGAAGATGTTGGTAAATATGGGTTATTGACCAAGCGCAAGGTTAAGATGGCTGGATATTGGCCAAGTTCTTCTTTTTGTGTGTGATGGACAGAGACAGAGTCAAAGTCCATAAACTCACAAGTAAAACGGCCAATATCCAGCCATCTTGACTGAACAAGCTTAGTCAATAAAGGATTTAGTATATGGATTTTGGGGAATTTTTTCTTGTGGCACACAGCAGGTAGTCCCAAATGGGCAAGATAACCCGCTCGGGTAGCCAATCACAGCAAAGGAATTGGTTCATCTTGCTCACCCATGGAACGAGCCACATAATAATTTAGTTATTATTGTTCTTCTCAGTCAGATAAGTGCTGATTTTCCTGTCCAGTATTTTACCATCTAAATAAGTGTTCAACTGCATGTATATACAGCACTGTAGAACGAAATGGTTGGATTCTTTTTTTAAAATAAAATTTTCAAGTTGTACGAGTGATCTGAAGCATTGAGTCACGCTTTTCTTCATGCACGTTGGGAAATACATTTTCTACAAGTCAGAAAATAAAACAGATGTAGATTCTGATTAGAGAGGAAGCCACATCAGCCTTAGCTGGTTTTCAGGTGGGTCCTCTATCCTAGTTGAATTGGAATTTAGAGATGTTGCTTTTTGTGGAGGGAGGAAAACCGGAGAACCAGAGAAAAACCCTTGAAGCAAGGCGAAAACCAATAACAAACTCAAGAACCCACGTATGCTACCATGCCAGAATCAAACCTGCGCCACATGAGTGCTCTCTGCGCTGTACCATCCCTGCTCCCCTGATCTTAAAAAGGGGGATATGTCATTATTCATACCAAAACACCTGCCATCTTTAATATATAAAATGTTAGGATTATATGTGCATAAATCTCTCCAACAATTAAACTCCTTAATTATCTGCCATAAACTGTGGACTGTTAAGTTGAATCAGATTTACTTTAAAAACAGTTGTGTAACTTTAAAGATATTACATGTAACTTTAAAAGTTGTTTCCAGTTTGACCTTAACATTGTTTGATTGCAGTCAGAGTATTTTCAAAGCATGTTCAATGGATCATGGAAGGAGTCTAAAGAAGAGCATATAACCTTGGAGATTCCAGATGAAAACATTGATGTTGAAGGTAAGGAAAGTCTTTAAGGTCATTTGTATTTCAAGTAATATATCAAACACGAGAGACAGTGTTTCATTGGGATATCCAAACACCAAGAAGAGAGTTGAAAATATGGTGCGCAGTGGAGTATTTTGGATGAAATTCAAGGTGTTTGGATAGCTGATGAAACACTGTCTCAAGCATTTAATATATCTTCTCAATCGAAACAAAAACTGAGGAGTAAACAGAGAAGTAAAATNCATTTGGTTCTTTGTACTGTGATGAAGTGGCAGTCACACCAGCTACAGTTGTACCTATCTTAGCTGCAGCACACTTGCTACAGCTGGTGAGAATTTAGAACAGTGTGGCTTCTTGAATTCATAAAGCATTGTTTTTAGGCATGGATATTTTCTGGAACAACACAAATTTTAACAAGAAATCTTTTCAACCTGTCTTGTTTGTAGGAAGGTTTGTGTCAGCAGTGTACTGAAGCAATGATGGAGACGATAAACAAAACAACAGTGTGTACATACTATGCTGCAGCCACACAATACTGTGAGGATCAGTTACAAACCAAGTGTGTAGAGTGGCTTGAAAGGAGAGTCACTTCTGAGACGTCTGTGACCCTCCTGAAAGACATCAGGTGAGTACAGACTGTGGTACAAACTACTTATGGACACTGAACTCAATCCACTGGACTTGATCCACATCCTTGCCAATGCTTATAATTCAACTCTATTAGTCATAGTAGGAAGAATTCAGGAGTTTAACAATGTCAGGCCCTAGTTGTTTAAAAGGTGGATAATGCTATCCACCAGATAAATTGCTATCCAGTGGATAAATGTTGACAAAACAAACAGTACTGTGTTTTTCACTGGATAGTGATTTATTTGGTTGATAGCGTTATCCACCTTTCAAACAACCGGGGCCAGAAAGTCAGACGTTTGACTAAGAATTGTTAACATATTTCCAGCAACAGATTGCAAACTGTAGTCCAAACTACATGTACTTAATTAGTCAGGCCCATTGGATATTTATCAGCAATAGCCTCGCTGCAACACTCTATATCGTAAGGACATTAACCTCTTTTAGTCTTGGGCCTCATTAATTGACAAAACTTTAAGTGCTTTAAAATTCTTTCTGGCAGTCGGCGCTTCTGGTTAGCCAGGTTCACAAGCTCGATTTCAACGGCGCAGAAACAAATTTAACTAGGAGACCCTAGATTATTTTATCTTTTAAACTGGAGGAAAATAAAATATAATAATTTCCCCTTTTGTTTGTAGCATTGAGCTGATGAGTCAAGTGATAAATTCTCAAGGGTTATTTGTGATGCAGATTGAGGTAGATGTTTATAACTTGCTGAAGATGTGGGTGTATGTACGACTTCACCCTGACTGTGCAGGAAGCTGGAAAGATGTACGAGAACAAGCCAATGCATACTTTAGTTCAAGGGCGTCTGATTATTCTGCTATGAATTGTTTTCTGGAGACTGATGAGGGCAAGGTGTTTATACCTGCCTTTAGATCTATAAGACTTCACCATGTTGTCAATGACCTGCGTTCGATTCAGCTTCTGGACACAGACAGGATTATTCCCCAAGGTATCCATTACTCTTTTTGTTGGCATATGGCGATATATAAAATAACAAATCATAAAATTTAGAAAACGCTTTCTAAGAAAGCGCGTAATTCTACAAGCCGTACTTGTATATAAACAATAGATCATTCCTGTCGACGCCCTGCCGAAATCGCCCGCAGAAATTTTATTCTAAAATGCAAATATTAACCCGAGAACAAAGTTCGAGGGCTTAATGTATGTACCGGTAGTCCTTTAGAACATAGATTTTGAAGGGCAGCTATCAGCCCATACGCTCGAGACATAAATGATATCCTGTCTGTATTGTCCAACGCTAAATTTTCCCGTTGCGGCGGGAAAAATTGAAACGAATTGAACGAATTGAAACAAAATGAATTTCTTCATAGAAACTTCCAACCGCTGGGAAGTTAAAACGATTAAGCTTTTCTCCACGATCTTGAAACCTTTACGCCGGCTTGGTGTTATACTGTACCGTTATACCGTTGTTTTCGGGACAATTTTAAGCCTAGAAATTACTTGTTCACGCTATCTTCAACTGAAATCCATGTGACAGAACCGTAAATTCTTTTTGCCTTCACCTAAAAAAAAACTACAGGAGAAAGCTGCGTTTCATGAGCTACTTCGCCGAGCGGGCCATCACTGTCGCCTGATAGTTGCTAGCCTGCGTTGCAGGCGTATTACGGGGAAGGGGTAGGGGTCCTTCTCCAAATCCCGAACGCCTGTTACGCAGGCTAGATAGTTACCCGGTGGCATATTATCACCTGATAGTACCCGGGCGAGATCGTACCACGTGATCAGTTGTAGCCAATGACGACACGGGAAAATTTAGCGGTGAAATTTAGAAACTCAATGTTAAAGAATTATAGCTGTACTAGCACTAGCTGTTGAAGTGAGGACGGCGCGAACAAAGAGAATTTACATTTCAAATAATGAAAATATGCGAGTTTTTTTCGTTTCAGTTTCTTAAAGTGTTTTCTAAAAGAAATAGAAATTATTGCCGTGTTTTTTGTCGAGTTATAGAAACAAGAGTTTAATTCTGTGGGAACGATAGATGCTGTGGAAACACGAGCTGCTGTTTCTTTAAAACTCATTACAAACACGGAAAATATTTTCTCTTTCTTTACATAGTAAATGTAATTTTAATGGCTTGTATGAGTGTATGTCCTTGCAAAACTGATGGGATTCAAAAACAAGTTTGAAATCTTGCCAGGTTAAGAGAATCGTACAGTAGACCTGCCTTCCAAAGTCTAAATGCCGCCTCTCAGGCTCTGTGTTAAGAAATGTTTAATTTATGATTTCTTGCATTTTCACATGTCCCTGTTGAGTTTTGGCCAAAGGTTCTAGAATGTTTCATCAGTGTTTGTTTATTTTCAGATTGGCTGCATCCTGTGTACAAAACACAGTGGGCTGCCATGTTATCAATGTCCCAAAATCGGGACCCTGGCCCGTCAGCCGAGAAATTCGGAAGAGATGCAATAAGATGTGGAAGGATATTGGAAAGAAGTTCATCGGTGAGTTGTTGTCGTGCCTGACAAAGCACTTACAGACATGTTCAAACTAAATTCAGTAGAGGTAAGGGTTTTCACTGCCCGGTGGTTCAATTTTATATGCCTTGCTTACTTAATTGAATATACCAAAGATCTTAAATTTGAACTGCGGAGAAATACGCAAAGGCATGGATGATCATTACAGTTATATACACAACTTAAGAGTTTGTTAAAAAAAAAAGCTTGAAAAAAATCAAACTTGAACAGGATTCGAACCCATGACCTCTGCAATACTGTTCAGACAGTGCTCAACCAATTGAGCTGTCAAACCAGCTGGGAGCTGGTACGTTTTGAGATTCTGGTCGTTGCTGAGGCTCATGTACAAGTGGTAACAGGGTGGTGATGGGTAATTCATAGTCTTTAGAGGTCAAGCAAGGTAGGAGGGCTTAATTTCAGATCAATATTTAGTTAAAGAACACTTCCCCTTGTAGTCTTTTTCCTTATCTATAAAGCTACCTCCTTTATTGCGACCAAAACCGTGACAACCGAATTTCACACCCTGTCTTCTTGTCACTTGCCGAAAATTAACGTTCACCAAGAGGTTTAGACTACATGTTATATCCCTTCTGCTCTACATTTACAGTATTGCTGGCGATGGACAGGATTCTCTTATGGCATTGACGTCATTATGACGTTCAGCCCCAAGACAAAGCAACTGTCACTCAGACGGAACACTTACACACATCCGGTCAGCGGTGCAGTTTGTCTTCATCAACAGAGGAACCTTTTAGTTCAAGTGTCTGCAGCAGCATTCGACGTCAAGGGATGTACAAGCTATTACAAGTGTTCTGGACTTTTAGATATGACGCTAGACCCGGATGAAGAAAAGGTTGTCTTGCAACTCGACCGGTCAGTGGTTTTCCCCCTGAGTATCAGTGTGCACATGGCGCTAGTTTCCGCCAATAGCTGAAGAGTATCCTGGAGCTGCGCCAACTGTTATTCGTCATGAAGAAACTATTTGTCCAAATTTATCTTCTTGCACTAAAGAAGTTTGGACGAGTTAAAAAGAAGAAGATATGAATAAGTAGAATTTACTTTTTGTATTAAAAATAAATGTGTATTTTGTACAAGTTCGGTTTGGAAACCAATAGCTGAGTGCAACATTATTTGTATTAAATGTAAATGAAGTATAAGTATTGCTTGTGAAGGATAAAAAAGTGTAAGACAATTATTCAAATACACGTCTCTCTTAAGTAATTTTATGAAACTCAAAAAGACGTGAAAATCGAGTAAATAATGAAAATGGTAATGAAGCGAATTTGACGACACGTACTAAAATTTTGACTTGAGAATTTGATTATAATAGTTCATTTCCGCTTTGCTGACAAAAGGGAATGATATGTCAATATGTATATCAGTTTATTTAAAGGAAAGAAACATGATTCCTTGCTTTGTAAAATTTGACGTTGGTATTAATTTCAAGTTTAATTTTTGAATTATGCAATTCGGAAATTCCGGCAACTGACATGAAATGAACGAAAGTGTAAGGAATGACATGAATAAAATCCATTCCGTGCAAACGCCAGAAGGGTTGTGGTAACCTTTTCCAACTTTGATTGCTAATAATGTTCAGTAGTTTCTTTCAAAGGTTTGAATTGTCTCGCGTTTTAGGTTTAAATTGGTGAGCGTTAGCCCTCGCAGGGTCGCCACAGGTAAGGAAATGGTCAGGGAAATAATTCTTCAAGGTCAGGGAAAAGTCAGGGAATTTAATTTTGAGTAAGGGAAAAGTGACATTCTGAATGAAAGTCTGGGAAAATTGAAATAATTTAACACGGCTGTTTTAATATCATCGAAGGCTGGAAGAACGACCTGTTTCCTTATCAGTCTTAATGAACGAGTGGAAAGGACGGTTGTAAGGGGAGGCTTGAAGCCGCTACTATATCTGACATTTCGTATTTATTTGATCAGGGAAATCTCATTTTTATCAGGGAAATACAGGGAATTTTGAAAAGTGATGTCTGTGATGTGGCAACCATGCGCTGGCATTTTGACGACATGCCGTACTGTAGTTGTAAAAAAGCGGGGCACATGCTGGGCTTTGTTAATACCATCGGAAAAATAATGAATGTAGACATCATACCGTGAAATACTTAGTAATTGCGGAGCTTGTAATGTTTTCGAATTCACCCACTCTCGAGGTCCTTCAGGCCTCGTTTTGAAACAGAGTCAAAGCAAATTTCTCGCCCTGGGCCGCCCTGGGCCCCCCAGGGCAAACTGGTGGTTTTTTAGTTCCCAGTCTTTCACGTTGGTCCGTATGTAACAAAGTAAACATGGAGTCCTTTTGTTGTTGCGCAAGTTGAATTCTTTTCCCAAACTTTTTGGAACTAGTTGCGTTTGTAGTCTTAGGTTCTCAGTGATGGGAGCGTCTCTTTCTCGAAGTCCAAGACAGAAGTCTGAGAAAAAGGCGAAAAGAGATGTACTTTCAAGCCGTCCTCATGGTAGTGCGAAAGATCTCAAAGGGAAAAAGAGTGACAAAAGGCTTGAGCAAGGAGAGGATACAGGGCAAGAAGCTAAAGGGATGGAAAGAAGAGATAGCAAGAATTTTTGGATTTCACATATAACAAGGAGAAATAGCTCTCGAGATACTATAAGTGTTCAAACAGCAGTTAACACACAAAAGCCACACAAAAACTCTCGACCTCCGCGGGAGTTGAGCCCTAAGGGGAAACAAAATGGAAGGAAACATGAGGTGCAGTTAGAGCCAAACAAGAATAACAACGCTAGGAGCTTGAATGGGGCTACATTGAACGATCAGCCGAGTAATAAGCAGGGCAAGAACCTGGCATTAAACGGTTTAACCGTTCCAGCGACAGAAAATCAAGATATTCAAGACTCGAATTCCACTGTTGTCCCGCAGTCACCCGCTCTACTACCAGGACAAACAAGCGGGAGTATCGACGCATCAAACTTGATTTCGGCAAATGAACTGTATAACTACTTCTGGGACGGAGCAATACACTCCAGCATCTTCGATCCATCGTATCTACTTGTTGTAGATGCTAGACCTAAAGCAGATTACGAACGAGGCCATATTATTTTGGCGCGTTGTGCAGGTTCTCTGTACAATGATTTAGCAACGAACCCCATGTTTGGCTATGGGTACCTGGGCGGCGAGGAAGTAATTGCAAATCGTCTTAGTGAATACACTCACGTTATAGTGTATGGAAACTCTGTCTCAGACACCAGAAATGACGATCTACCAGAAATTAAACTCATGAGGGAGCTTATGAATTATGAATTAGTGGATCCTCTGTTTCTAGCTTCAGGTTATGACAGTTTTAAACAGGCTTGGCCCTTCATGTGCACAACAAAGGACCTGACCATCCGACATGATCATAAAGAAATCACCGTTTATCCCTCTCTCATTTTGGAAAACCAGCTCTATTTAGGCCGAGGTGAACAAGCGACCAATAGAAAGGTAGTATCAGATCTGAAGCTCACACATGTCATTAACATTGGCAGTGAACATGCCTCACCTTTCACAGATTGCATTCAGTATCTCAATATAAAGCTTGATGATAATCCTTCCAGTGACTTGAAAATTTATTTCTCAAAGGCTTGTCAGTTCATCAGTGATGCCTTGTCTATAGGTGGACGCATCCTAGTCCATTGCAACCTTGGTGTAAGCCGCAGCTCAACAATCGTCATTTCATACTTGATGAAATCAAGGCAGTGGACTCTCAAAGTGGCTCATGACTTTGTTAGGGATCGCAGGACATGTATTCGGCCTAATCGGGGCTTTTTACAGCAACTGTCCGACTGGGAACAAAGTATATTTGGACGTAAGCACACTGATGCTGATGAGTTGTGGTTTTAGCTGCAGCACTATACCATACGGTGAAAGCCTCAATATTATGTTCATATTCTTAATTCGACCAAAGATGTTCCCTTACATTATATACATTGTAGTGTATTTTGAGGTGACACTGAAGAGGGGCTCTTTCACATCAAATGTGAGAAATCAAGATGATCTGCTCCATGGAGTGCGCTCATTATTTGCCAGCCCAATTCACCAAGCAGATATTTTGTGGTAGAGAAAATTGTTTGGCTTGTTTTTGGCTTTCATGGTCATATTCATATTACTGAACTCAAGGAATATGTATGTGTCAACTTTTGCTTAAACCTAGAACTGCATTGACTTGGCTAAATGAGTGATACCTTTGCGGTCTCCAAAACAATAATTATAATAATAATACAAATTTATTGAGCACCTCAGCAAATAAGTCTATATATTTTCCAATGTGTGAAGCTTCTTTCGTCAGGTATATTTATGAAATTTACGTATAAAACATGTTTAAAGCTCATGTATTTCTGCTGTGCATTTTGCAGTTTGTAGTTCCAGTTAATAATATATTCATACACTAGGGTATGTGAGCTGTTCTGCACATTTTCTTGAGAGCATAAAAACATCTGCCTTTCCTGCTGTCACTCACTTGTTTTAATCTTTTGTGTTTTAAACTTGAATATTTATTAGTTACACCTGAAATCTGACACCTGTTATGTTGCCTTTTAAATTTGTTTTAGTTTGAATTTTGATTTGACTCTCTCTTGGGTGTGTATATATTTGTTCTAAAACTGAACTGTTGTAGTTTCACACAAAAACACCACTAGGACTGTGATTTTGACTATTGTAAAATATATTTATTAGATATGCTAATGAGTATTTTTGATGTTTGCATGCTGATATCATAGTGATATTTAATTACTGTGTCGATCATAAGCAAATAACTGTTTGATTCAGATTTGAAGATATTATATTCTGCCAGGCTTGGGTCAGTTTTCCCAGAAATCTTGGCTTAAAAGTGGTAAATTTATATGAATTAGGTTAATATTTTAATAATTTTCACCTAGCATGAATGAAATGCAGATAATTGGGAACATAAATTTTAAAATTGACTGAATTTACACTGAATTTTCCCATGCTCAGTCAAGTGTTTTCATCGGACTATCCAAACAAATTGGCCATTTTCATTTCAAGAAATTGTTTAGTCATTTCATTACTGCAAAACATGTTTGTGACTCTGCAATTAAGGTATACATTGTATAAGAACACTTTTTGTAATATTTATCAAATTTAATCAAACAGCTATTTAAACATTGTACCTAGTAATCTTTTTTTGTGCCCGTGACATGGAATGAGTTGTTATAGGTAATCTTATGCAATGGGGATTTAAATTACTGACTTGGCTTGTATAATTTATATTTATTTTAGAGTTTGCAGCTATTTTCTTGGTTGTATATTTATAAACATTGAGGTTTCTAAGCTGCTTTACACCAATAACATACTCTATTTTCAGAAACTTACATGATGATAGTCTTATGTGCACTGTTAAATACTAGACACAGTTAACTTTACTGTTAGTTGAATTTTATGTAAAATAAAAAGGTATGATTCATGCTTCAGGCAAACAAACTACATGAAGCAACAATATTAGTGCTCAAATACACTTGTGGTCTTGCCACAATGATTCAGTGAAGAAGGCAAAACAAAATCTTGAGTGTATATATTGCACAAAGAGCATAGTATAAGCTATGGTGATAAGGTTGGCTTGTTGACCAGAATTCAGTATAATTTTTTTGTATATGTTACTTCGCAGTAATGTTATGCATTCTTGTAATGTGATTTTAAAAATTGTTTGTTTGAATATTTATTAAAAGGAGTACCATGCATACAAGTCAATTCTGAAGCTGTGTGAATTATCTTGTGTAGCAATAATACTGTCAAATATCTGCATACTGCATGTGTTGCTGAAAAGTACAGTGAAACCTCTTTTAAGCGGACACTCAATTAAGCAGACACCCTCTATTAAGCAGACACTTATCCTGGTCCGGAAATTAATGCCTTATATTTCCCTTTATAACAAACCCCTATTCAGCGGACACCTCTGCAGACACTAAAATAAATTGTATTTGGCTAATTCCTCTCTTAAGTGGACACAGGACTGAACTGATAATGTGGCATTGAATTACTGTCATCCTTGAAATAGTCGATTAAAGGTACCCATATTGTCATTGCTGTATTGAAAGGGCACTATTACAAACAAATTAAAGTTGGAAATGACAGCTGATGAACTTGAACTCTGGATAGCTTTGTTAACAACCTGGATACTAAGCAGACTTTTGGGAAAGTCCCGAGGGTATCCGCTTATTAGAGGTTTCAACGTAGCTCTGGTTTTATGTTCATAGGAACTTCAATTCAAACAAGTTCTGCCAAGAGGTGGACAGCCTGTGCAACTGGCCTGAACAGTACCCGTATTTTGGATTTCTGGTGTTTTGAAAGAAACAATGATGTCTTGATGTTGTTGTGGAAGATTTAAATTAGAATCTACTGGGTCAGTTAAAAATAAGGCTCCACTGTAGCTGTCATTTGGGTCATTACACAATACTTCCTGGTGGACAGAAGGGTTCCACAATCAAATGGTTTGATGTTATGAGCTCATGAGAGATTTATACAGTAGCTGATGGGTGACTGTACGACTCCAATGCAGCATCTGGTGTACATAGTGAGGGATAGCGCTGCTGTAGGAGAGGGCTTGAGAAATAATGGCAAACCCCCAGTTAGCCCTCCCTGCGCCCAGCCCCTTGCCCCGCCCACTCAACACGCAAGATCGCCAGGTCGCTAAGGCGAAGATGGCGAACAAATTTCTACCTGGTTGCCGAAGTGTTGGTTCGTCATTTTGTAAAGGAATTCGGCATTTTCATGGACTTAAAGTTCAGAAGTGGGAAGCTCTTACAAGATATACGGCATGTAGATATATGTCATCGATCGTGGACCGTAAGTTTTGAAGTCCTTAGCATGAAAATAAACAAATCGATCCGCCACGCTGTCCACATGTCAAGCTTAACTTTGTTCTTAAGTGGACACAGGGGTATTCATGAGGTTTTCTTGCAATTGCTATGGTTTGGTTTGATCTTACTGTCGTAATTTCCATCAAAAAATTCATGAGCCGGAGATCGATTCGAGCATTATGAAGATAACGTGTTTTTAAAAATCTTGCCTAATAAGTTTACCTGCGAGTAGCTTAAATTGTTAGCAAGGCAAAAAGATTTTCAGGCAATTCTATATCGAGAGAATAAAGTATGGTCCCTTGCCTGGGAAGTCCCTTCACAATGTCCAGTTGGAAGCTGCAAGAAGATACCCCGTCAGATGTATTTCCCATAAACACCTCTCCCCAAGGATATCCAGTGGTAGGGATCGACTGAACTTACTAACAGGGTTTTAGTATGGCAGGGTTCCACTGTATGTTGTTGGTCTGTTTATGGTTACAAAGTTTCTTTTTCAGGATTAAGTAGCTGTACTGCGAAAAGTAACAAGTGGAAAATTAATTTCAGTGCTTAGAGTCTTACTAGTGTATGTGTTATTGAATTTTCACTATGCACAATGTATTTTGCAGCATCACTGGGTCTCACAGATGATCAAAGGGAATTCCAAAGAGTGGCTTTAGACTTTGCAAAAAATGAACTTGCACCTGAAATGCAAAAATGGGATCAAGAGGTTTGTGACAAGCATGTCTATCAGACCCTTCCAGTTGGAGCCTGTTCACAGTCCAACTTTTTGGAGAGTTAAGAGTCCATTTGTTTGTTAGAAATTGAACTCATTTAATACAATTCTTTAGAAGAGCCTTCTTTTATCAAGACTTAATTAGCTGATTCACAAGTTTGTCGTTTCCATTTCAGGAAATATTTCCTGTGGATGCTTTAAAGAAACTTGCAGGCCTTGGATTTGGAGGTAAAAAACTATGTGTTAAATAGCCGATTCATGAATAATAGTTAAATCTTTGGCAAAAAGTTACTGGCCACCAATCATCTAAGTGGACCTCTCAAGTGCGGAAATTCATTGCGACAAGGTTTTATCTGAGGATTGTGATTGATGCTAGATTTCATTCCATTTTCTTTCTTTCTTTGTTTCTTTTTTTTTTAAGGATCAACAACAGCAGAAAACACAATACTGTTAGTTGGGCTGTTTTAGTTAGGATTTGAACTTTTGTCTGCAGTTTGCTTGGTATTAAAAGTGACAGTAATAAGGGAGAGAGACTCAACCTGCCTTGAGCTAGTTAATTATTCTTGGTTCCTTCTGTAAGCAACCAATGCTTGTAGGTGCATCATCCTTGTAACACCTACTGTCCCTGTCTGTTATTAATCAATGCCATTACATTTTACCTTATCATCTCTAGTCATGTTATCAGGTTGGTACGCCCAATCAAAAAAGTGGGAAGTGCAATTTTTGTCCCACTGTGTAGTGTTCCACTCTTTGGTTGCTCTTATTCAATAAATAATTATAGAGTTCATTGTTAGCTTTATCCACTCAGACTGGTATTTTCCCCCTCTCTTTTTATCAAGTTGTTACTAAATTCAGTGGTTTCTCTTTTAGCTGTCTATGCAAAGGAAGACTATGGAGGTAGTGGACTCTCCAGATTAGAAGCATCTGTGATATTTGAAGCTCTTGCCACTGGATGTGTCAGTACAACAGCATATCTTAGCATTCATAAGTGAGATCCATTATCTCTTCACCATACAATAATATTAAAAAAACAACAACAACAAAGCAAAAACAAGAAGGGTTACAACCAGCCAAAAGAGTCATTGCCAATTTTCTCTGCAACTTGACGCTTTTAGTTGCAGTAAATAATCTGCTTTGCTGATGATCTTTTTTGTTGACAGTACTTCTTACCTGAGGCCCTACCCAGAAGGGATTAGGAGAGGAGAAAGCAGGGGAGATGGAAGGTGGGGGGTGGGGAGGGGGTTGTCACCTACATGGCACTTTTGGTCAAATTGAATGCTTTCTTACACCATAGACCAAAAACTATGCATCCTAGACCATGCTGGGAATTTTTAATAACAGTGCCATTAGATTTGAAGGGAATTAGACAGACGTTAAAGTGCTAAAGCTGAGAATAATTCCTCTAAATTTTACTAGTCAAAATATTCATTTTAGTTAGTAGTATAATAGGTAATCATATGAATGTAAGTGCAATACCTAATTAAAAGATATATTCCGCACAGTCTATTTGAAAATATTCTCAGTACAAAACAGCAAATATGAAGTGCAAATGAAGAATGAATGATCTTTTTGCCTACTCTCAGCTTATCATATTTTTTTCAGTCATATATTATATATTTTTATAATATTATAATTATTATTTATTATAAATGTTGCTGTTTTCACTCAGTATGGTTACCTGGATGATTGATGAGTTTGGTTCTGAAGAACTCAGAGAAAAATATGTCCCTGCATTAGCATCGATGGAGGTTAAGTTGATAGTTTTGCTGTTTTACTTTGTTTGATGTTTTTGTTTTATTCTAGAGTATAATAATTACATTTATTAAATAATGGTGGTTTCTTAAGGACCAGGCACTGGGAAGCTGTGAGGACAATTCTACCTGCCTGGTTTGATCATTTAGGGAAACGTTTTTCTTATAGTGCAAGAAGAAGGAGTTAAAGAAGTTAAATTCAAAAGGTTTTGCCTGGCTGTGAAAACCATTTGGCTTCCTGCTGAAAAAGTGTATGAAACCCCTTTAATAATGTAAATAATTTATGTAAATATTTTTATTAGAATGCCAGTGTGTTGCACTATTAATACGTAGCAAAACCCACTAAACGCAAAGTAACAACAGCAGTGTTTCTGATGAAAGTCTTTTGGACTGGTTTCTGATGGAGGGGAGGGAGAAGGGATTTAGGAAAGGGGAGGGGAGGCCCGGGGGTATTCCCATATAAAAAGGACAGTGGTGCTGGTTGGAAATTTTGAAATGAACCCCTAAGAGGTACCAAGATCCTGTTTTGTGGGTGTGGCTTGAAATGTTTTCACCCCTAAGTGGTACCAATTAAGCAACACATTAACTGATACTGACACTTGTTCAAAGGTACCGCGAAAGCTCCTGCTGTGGGACCTTTTGAGGCCGACTACCCTAAGAGGCACCAAATATGCTTTTTTAATCCCTGAAAGGTACAACGAGCACCCTGGTCCCTTTTATGAGGGAGTTCCCCCCTCTGGGAGGGGAGGTACAGTTTACCAACACTTTTAATTATCATCAATTCAAAAATTTTAGATTTGTTCACAGCATTTACAAACCCTCTTAATTCTCAGAAATTTGGATCTTATTGCCTGACAGAACCTGGTATGTGCCACTATTTTGTCTAGTAGTTCTGTTGGCCACACAACATCTTTTGGCATATTGTTGTGGAACTCTACATCATAATTTGTATGTACTGATTAAGTTAGTGTATTTTTATCCTTGAGAGGTAGTGGAAGTGATGCGGCATCATTAACAACATCTGCCAAAAGAGATGGAGACTACTACATCCTGAATGGCTCAAAGGTTAAAAAATTAATACTGTTGTCAGTAGATTACTGTTAATAATAGTATTAACAGGACACCCCTATTCAGCAGTCACGGCCACCCAAAATTTAATACATTTAGTTTGGCTGTTTAGGAAAAGGCAACGAGAGAGTCTGAAATGGAAAGTGACTACTGATAAAAACACCTGTTTATAATAATTATTGTCTTCACATGATTCTTATGTTGCCTTAAAGCATGTTTGTAATAGTTGAATAATTTGACATTTCTACCAAGCCTCATGCTAATTACTGACAAACCCCCATTAAGCAGCCAAACCCCTTTTAAGCGGCCACCTCCCATTTCCACTAAATAGGATTTCACTGTAGATCCGAAACATTTTTTGCCATCTATGCTGATTTGGTTTCTGTCAGGTATTACTATTACCGGTGATGACTTCATTCTCTACTATGTTTCCAGGCATTCATCAGTGGTGGTGGAGACACTGATGTTTACATTGTGATGGTCAGAACTGGACAACCAGGTACATAACTTGGACGAAAGTACCTTTTTCTTAGAGTTACAAGACTAAACAAGCTACCTGTCTATCAGATTTGCTAGTGACTAACAATTGCAATGCATCATGATGTGCAGACTTTTTGGATCATGTGTGCTAGAGGCATCTGTGGTTGAGTGTCGATAGATACCCTTGATCAATATCTCGATTGGTACTCTATCAACATCCTGATTGATACTCGGTCGGCACTTGCTCAGTTGGCCGAGTATCGACCGACTCACATGAATTGATCAAAAATTAGGTGACTGTCGACCAAATGTTGACTGAGATGTCGAGTGAGTGTCAACTGAGGTGTTGATGGAGTGTTGATGGAGTATCAGTCGAGTTTTGATCGAGGATATCGGTCATGGGTATTGATCGACACTTGACTGCAGATGCCTTTAGTAAACATCTTCTGAGTTTTTTCCAAATTACTGTGAAGGCAACTTTGCTTTTTTGTAGTTGTACCCTTTTCCATGTTATCTTGAATTTGGTTTTAGGTCCTCAAGGAATTTCAACAGTTATTGTTGAAAAAGGAACACCAGGGTTGAGTTTTGGCAAGAAAGAGAAAAAAGTATGTTGCAAATAACCATCACCATTTGTTAATTTTGTATGCAATATGAGCAGTTCTTATAATATAGACTATATTTTATTTTTATCAGCACATAATCCATTTTTATGGATTTTATTTATTGCACTTGATACATTTTTTGCTATAACTGCCTGCAAACCAAGCTGTGTTTCCTCACTCTGTTAAATCACTCAATTTTTGGTGGCATATGAAACAAGAGCAAAAAACGGAAAAGTGCTTCAATGGATGAAGCTTGACGAGATCACCAATGGTCATAGAATAATTATGGAGCTTAAATGATACTGCACAAGCTAAGATGGTTGGGGCACAATATATTTTTACTCACAACACCTCAAAGAGCAATACCCAATGATGCCCCAGGATGGACTTTGCCAGGCAGGAGGAAATTGCTGTTAGGCAGTTAAACAAAAGTCAACAAACATTATAATCTATAACAGCGTTTTGATCTGGGAGAAAACACCAAACATGGCATAAGATGGAGATGGAAGCAAAAGACATGATCATATTATCATCATTACTATCACTACAATGTCCCTGTGTGATCAAGGAGGATTGCTGATAATGACCATTGACAGAGAATTAATTTAAACAAAGAACTAAAACGAGGGAAAACTGTGTCCAACTGGTGATGAAGAGACGATGTTCTCTGACTCTAAGGGTGCATTTCTTTGGGGTGGTCTGGATCAGGATCAGTGATCCAAGATCTTTCATATCATGGTACACCAATGGAACCAATGAGTCCTTGACCAGAGTGGATCCATCAGTTCCTTTGATCTACAATGATCTGAATGACGTTATATCACTAATCCAGATCCAGGTCACCCCAAAGGAACATGCTATGTTACAGTAGATGGGTAAATAAGATATTATTGTTACAGTTGCACTGATTTAATTTATTTTCTTGGTTCAGGTTGGATGGAATTCACAACCAACAAGAGCAGTGATATTTGAAGACTGTAAAGTTCCTGTTACTAACAGGGTCGGATATGAAGGACAGGTTAATTGCCTCATCTGCTATCACCTCATAGAAATCTCAAGCTCATGACCGTAATGTAAAATAGATTGAAGTCTGTACCACTATAGGGTGTTTTCTTAAGGATAATGAGTTGTCACTGTGTGATCTCTAAATAAGAATCATGTGTCTATTAGTTGCATAGGGAAAGTAATCTATCAGCGATAATTTGACCAATCAATAGACCGCCAATAGCGAGGTCAATACGGCAAGGTCTCGGTTTGAGATTTTCCTGTTAAGACCACCCTCTCTGTCAATAAGTAGTTAGTAATGGCTATAATAGTGGTTTTCAACTGAGTGTTGAAAGTAATCAGCAATTACTTTGATTTCGGTGTACTTTAGTTTGAAATTGGCTCAGTAGTCTAATTGGTAAGTAATTGGTTTGGTTTTGGTTTTACAACATTCTATTGAAAACCACTCTATTCACAGTAAAATGAATAAGGACTAGATAGTCCTCAAGGCTTGTTCACTGATTGTGTTAGATGTCAAAATCATATCAATCTCACATGTGCCTTGTCAAGTTTGATTGTAAGTACTGAAATGTATTGTTCACTTTTAAACTATAGGGTTTTAGAATAGCAATGTATGGACTCAATGGTGGTCGTATCAATATCGGTGAGTATTAGAATAGCCTGTGCTCTTTAGAACTTGGTGTTGAAGGAAAATGAATCATTGGTACCAGATAAACTGACTGAATGCACCTAGGAATATTATCTTGAGAGTCTAGAAATGTTCTCACCATTCAATTATCAAATGTTTCTGCAGCATCATGTTCGCTTGGAGCAGCTCAAGCATCAATTGAACAAGCAGCTGAACACACTAAAGTGCGGAAACAGTTTGACAGTCCCCTTGCAGACAACCAGGTACAGGAAACAATAAATTAATTTCTTACTTTTGGAATGAATGTTATTTCAGTTCTTTCAGTTGATTTATTTGAGTTTTTTGTTGACTTAGTAAAGAAGTATAGGCAAATTTTGTAACTGTAGGTCAATGAAAATTTAATAAAAAAAATTTAAATACTGCTGTGTGAAATAAATTTTATTGCAGCTAACAAACTATGGACTGAGATGTTGACTGTTTTCTCACGCCTATGACAAAGCTGCAACTTTAATATTATTTAATATGTGGCATAGTCAACATACTTTATTGAGCTATAACTGAATGAATTCAAACTGACCAATCATAGTACACTATTTTTTAACATGTTATAAATGGAATAAAAATCAGATCCCTTGCCCCTTTAATGGAAACCACTGACAACATTTTAAACAAAATCTTACAGCACATCCAGTTTAAACTGGCAGACATGGCAACCTCTCTGGTAACATCACGGTTGATTGTGCGTCAAGCTGCTTGTGCTTTGGATGCTAAGTCCCCAGAGGCCCCCACACTGTGTTCCATGGCAAAAATGTTTGCCACTGATCAATGTTTTCAGGTTTGTTTTCTTTAAATTTGTTTATAGTCTCTACTCCTTTTTTTGTACTGAGTGGAACATTGAGTAAGTCACGCATCTTAGCTTAAGTGTAATCAAGTTGAAAGAGATTTGTGCAAGGGGAGGGGGTACTCTTCACAATTCTTGGTGGGGGTGTGCTGCTGGCCCTCCAAATCCTGACCCAATTTCAGACCAAAACATGTCATTTCGCACACCCGTTTTCAGACCT